AAAAAAAATTAACTTAAATGATTTTAGCAAAATGCTGCAATATAACAAAGAGTGAAAAATTTAAGGGGGTCTGAATACTTTCCGTACACACTGTATATATTAGAATTTGTTCTGTGATGTGTCCTGAAGGGATTTCTGTAGAGCTGACTCTACGTCATTCATCATTACAAGCTCCAGATTCCTTTCGTCTTACTCATATTCCCACACTCAGCAGCTCTGTGCGCAGTTGCCCTTACTTATCTAAGTTCTCAGACATAGTTGAACCAGTTTTTGTAGCAAAGCATCTAAGGAAAGCATCACTATTATTATTGCTTGTAATCGGGGGGTAAGGATTTCAACCAACACCCAGGTCCCATTACTTAACATTAATTAATGTATTAACTAACAATGAGCAATACATTTATTATAGTATTTATTACTCTTTTGTTTATGTTAGGTCATGTTAAAACTGGTTGTTTGACCCCCTGCCCTTAGGGTGGAGGTACAGGACCATAAAAGCACACACAAACAGACTGAGAAACAGCTTCTTTCCAAGAGATGTGACCTCTATTACACCCCTTGCACTCACACCCTCAAGTTAATGACATAATTTGCACTTTATTTTGTGGTAACTGTTGTCTGTTATTTATTGTTGGTTGATTTAAGTTGTTGTTCTTCCTTTGTTTAGTTTGTAACTGAGACTCACCAGACAGAATTTCGTTGTACCTATGTACAATGACAATAAAGTAAATTGAATTGAATTAATTGAATGAATGTTAGCCCATGTTCATTAAATAATATTAACAACATTTGATTTCAACAATGTCTTGGTAAATGCTGAAATTAACTGACCAAGATAACAATAAATGCTTTAGAAGTACTTTAATTGTTAGTTAACCAATGTTAACAATTAGAACCTTATTGTAATGTATTATTATTTTAAAAAGCTTTTGGACACTTCTGAGCTGGTCAGGCTGGGAGCCCAGCTATATCAATACCTAAATGCCCTAACAACCCTATAGCAATGCACAAAAAAAAACTTAGAACACCTTAGTAGCTGCATGGCAACCATTCGTAAAATCCTAGCATCATGTTTTGCATAGAAAAGTTTATATGGGCAAACACTACTTGTGTTTATATAAAAAAGCATTTGTTCTGAAAAACCATAATTAAACTGCTACAGTACAGTACAAGAAACATTAATGTGCTGACATTATGTGACATGGTTTAAGCTGATAACCTAGCAGTATTGAAAGGAAATTTTCATAATATTTGGCCTTTAGCCTTTTAGCCTTAGGCATTGGCTGGAAATAAATCTTCGACAGGGATAAGACTGCTATAAAACATAGTTAATTTCAAGTTCTCTCAGCTAAAAATTTACTTATTTTTCTTTCCTTTATAACTGGGCTTTTGAATACACCACTTGTTTGAGCAATAGGAATATGTTCATTCAACATCAACAAACCCAGACCCTTGACCACATCTGTTACTGGATATCAGTCTAGTAGATGTTCTTTGTTGTAACAGCATAATTATATTACATTTTATTCTCTGCTAATCCTTTTCACACACAGATTTACTGAATGAGATGGAAGGGGGGGGGCAGTTTCTGGCGAGAAAAAAAATAATTTTGCTTTTACTCAGCCAGAGGTAAATGACCATTTGGGAGGAAGATGGTTCTTTGGCACAGTCTGTGAAATGGAACTAGAGCAAGCTGCGTTTTTTGGAATTGGAGGCATCCATTAATAGTTACCTGGAAGTGCATCTTTGTCTGTAATAGTTTCATGAAGCGACACTCTCGGGTCAAGAGAGAAAAAAATGTCTCAGGTTACGCATGTAACCATGGTTCCTCGAGGGAACGAGACGCTGCGTCGGAGGATGCTTTGGGAACGCCCTTCAGTGTGACCGGCTCTGAACCACGTGTGTAATCAGTCCAATGGATGGGCGAGACGTCACGGGCAGGATGACGTAGCGACCAGGAAGCTTAAAAGCACGTGCGGTGAAACCGGCGTCAGCTTCTAGGAGTGAAGCAAGCGCTGGCAGAGATGCCGAAAGTATGGCCCGAGACGCAGCATCTCGTTCCCTCGAGGAACCATGGTTACATGCGTAAACTGAGACGTTCCTCTTCAGGAACTCGAGCTGCATCGGAGGACGCTTTTGGAACGAGTATGCCCCCGCCGCCAGACTTTCAAATCTTCGCCTATTGTGGAAGCCTGCACAGCTAGGGCGAGAGAACAGAAGAGCCAGGAGTGGCTCGCATGTCTAAGCCATAGACAAAGGTTAGGGGTGTGGACCATCCCGCAGCGTCGCAGATGTCCTGCATCGAGACACCTGCCAAGAAGGCCTTGGAGGCCGCCACTTCTGGCCACTTCCACTTCTAGTAGAATGAGCCTTGACCCCTAGAGGCGAAGGGAGATCAGAGGACTCATGAGCGATAGAAATGGCATCTACTATCCACCGACTGAGGGTCTGTTTTGTAGCTGGAAGACCTCTCTTAGGGGGACCATAGCACACAAGCAGTTGGTCCGCCCTTCTCCACAGGGCAGCTTTGTGGTCGTATGCATCCAGTGCTCACACTGGACACATACAGTTAAGCTTCTGCTGGTCTGACTCCCTGAAGGGAGCCGGAGGCCTCTGCCCCAGCGCACCGCGGAGGAAACGTGTAACTAGGGGGTGTCTGCCCACTAACTGGCCACTGAGAGGGGCGTGGTAGGCCGCAACGGCCGCCACGTAGACCTTCAGGGTGGAGTGTGTCAACCCTGCGGAGAATCAGGCCTGCAGGAACTCCAGCACTGTACCAACCGGGCAGTTAACTGGGTCGAGCTGGCGGTCTCCGCACAAAGAAGTTAAAAGTTTCCACTTCAAGGCGTACAGTTTCCTCATTGAGGGAGCTCTGGATTGGGGGATGGTCTCAACAACCTCGGTTGAGAGACCGGAAGCTATGACCACACCCACAACTTCCACAGCTCCGGACGGGGGAGACCCGACACTCCCTCCCGGGAGCAGAGTGATCTGGGGAAAGGCGTACAGACGAAGCCTCTGCCACGTCTGTACCATGGCATCCAGCTCCCAAATTGAGATGGCCAGGAATGTGAACTGCTCTCAGCGAGAGAAGTTTGCCCTGGGACCACACAAGGATCTGGTACGCTAGTTTGTACAAACGGCGTGAGCACAGACCTCCCTGGTGGTTAATGTAAGAGACCACCGCTGTGTTGACGGTGCGCACCAACACATGGTGACCTCTTAGGTCTGGGAGGAAGTGTCTTAGTGCACGAAGTACAGCCAGCATCTCCAGGCAG